TTCCGAGCTTACATCAATGACTTACGATGTACTCTCACGTATGAAAACTTGGGGTGTAACATACCGCTAAGTATTTGATTCCAAATGTTTAAACTAGAAATGTGATTCTATAATGAAAACTGATTTTTAAACTGTAAAGATGACCTGATATTTTGTTGATTATCCAGTTATGTATTTGTGAACTGCTCGTCACTGCTTTCAGTCCTTATTTACTCTAGTTACTTACTGAGTTGGCGTACTCACGTTACTCCGTGCACCTTGTGTGCAGATCCAGGTGCCCGAGCGGTCGAGTGAGGGCTTTTAGCTATTTCAGTATTTGACGGAGACTTCGAGGTAGCTACATGGCATCCGCAACCCTATTCTCTCCCTCTTATCTTATTATATTTCCGCATTTCCTAGACTATTGATGTATTAGATAATCATACTTGTATTAAAGGCTCTAGACTCGTGACACCAGATTGGTGGGGTTGTGTAGTTATTGTTATTTTGGCCTTCCACATATTTCTGTTGTTTTAACGCTTATAATGACTTTAGTATTTAAAATTGGTGTTAGAAAATGGTTTATTACCAAAGGAAAATGGGTTGTGGTTAGTTGATTGGTTGGCTTTCTTAGTATTGTGATAGGCACCATCACGACCGGTGTTTGGGGTCATGACAACTCTCTACTAATGTTCAGAAATATCTTATCTTTTAATTAAAAAAAAAAGTAAAGATGTTTTTCAAAATAATTTGTTTACATTTTTAAAAAAATATTTCAAGTCATACCAATTTTTTTCTTTATATATACTCTTTGTTACACTTAAAAGTCGCTATAGAAACTATATAATAGAAACCAATTTCTCTCTTGTTTAGTTTAAAAAACCTTTCACATAATTTAATGATTCAAAACTAATATTTTTCAACGAAAAAAAATATTATACCCTTACAATATTGGCTTGACACTTGGACGATCTTTCATATTTGAAAACAATCAATATTAATAGCTAATTTAACAAAAACATATCTATAGCTATACCAATTGAAAAAGAACCTTAAATCGATAAGCCTATAAGCCTAACGGTAACATCTTCATCTCCTCCGGCAAATCCCTAGCGCCACCGGCACTTGTCCAGGCAAACCAGGTAAGTACTCGTCCCTCTCTTTATCTCTCCCCACGTCTCTCTCTTTCTTCCCCTTTCTTTTAACCCTAGTAGTAGCAAGGCCAGCGTCCGGCTACCCACCGACGCCGTCTCATCTTCCTTCTGCTTTTCCGACCCAACCACACTACCCTCCTATGTGTTTCCCTTTCTTCAAACCTTTCCTCGTCGTACCATTTTTTCTCGGACCGACACTATTTTCCGGTGACCATTCCGGTGACAGTCATCTCCTTTTCTTGGTCCCGTGGTGTGTGTTTGTGTGTTTTAGGCAGAACTTTCGGTGGCTGTTTGGTGACGGGTGGGAGGTGCATGGGCAAAGAAGAGTAGGCCATTTGGCAGTCACAAAGGGCTGGATGTCAGGTTCCAAAGCACCCAAGTTATATTCGCTGGAATAGTTGCGGCTGCATAGGCAAGAGCGAGGCATACAGGCGAGTAGAGTGGAGCATCACCGGGTGCATCAAGTTATATCTCCAGGCTCTTTCCATCGGGAGTTGGTACCTCCCGTTTTCTTGTCTCTTTCTCTATGTTAGTTAATTTGTGGCTATTTAGTTAGCATCACTTCAAGCATCTTATTAGAATACTTGTAGTTGCAACCTGTTATTTTCTAGTTTGGGTTCGTGTTAGTGTTTTTCGGAGTTTGCCGTAGGTATAGTGGCTATGGTGAGGGATGGTAGAGTAAGGTCGTGTCCTCTAGGGGTCCCAGGGGTGAGTAGGGGGTGGGGAGGGGGCCAGGGGTTGGGACGAGAGGAAAGGAGGGTAAGGGGAAAGATGGAGCTTGTAGATTGAGGATCGGGTCGTAGAACATAGGCACGCTGACGAGTAAGTCTATTGAGTTGGCAAAGATTCTCTAGAAGAGAAAGGCTAATATAGCTTGTGTCCGGGAGACTAGGTGGGCAGGGACAAAGGCGAGGAATGCGGATAGGTATAAGTTGTGATACTCTGGAGTCATGAGGGGTAAGAATGGAGTGGGTATCTTGGTGGATATGGATCTTAGAGAGTGTGTGGTTGAGGTTAGGCGAGTGAATGATAGGCTAATATTTATTAAGTTGGTGATTGGTGAGTGCACCCTCAATGTCGTTAGAGCTTACGCGCCGCAAACGGGCTTGGATGAGGAGGTTAAGAGGCACTTTTAGGAGGGCTTGGACGAGGTTGTCCGTAGTATTCCACCTACTGAAAGGTTATTTAATGGAGGGGATTTTAATGGCCATATTGGGGCGGCTGCTGGTAGTTATGGCGAGGTGCATGGTGGCTTTGTCCTTGGGGATAGGAACGGAGGAGGTACTTCGCTGTTAGACTTCGCTAAGGCTTTCGAGCTGGTTATTGCGAACTCGACTTTCCCGAAGAGGGAGGAGCATCTGGTTACTTTCCGAAGTTCGGCGGTAAAGACTCAGATCGATTACCTTCTCCTCAGAATGTGTGATAGAGGGTTGTGCAAGGATTGCAAGGTTATCCCGAGAGAAACCCTCGCGACTCAGCATAGGCTCTTAATGATGGACATCAACATTACGATAAAGAGGAAGAAGAGGTATGCTCATGGCCGTCCGAGGATTAGATGGGGAGCTTTAACCAAGGATAAAGCCCAGGAGTTAGATGGGAGGTTATCCGCTATGGGAGCATGGAGGAGTAGTGGAGACGCGAGCACTATGTGATCGACGACGGCAAACTATGTGAGAGAGGTGGCGAGAGAGGTGCTAGGTGTATCGAAGGGTTTTTCTAGCAGGCACCAAAGAGACTGGTGGTGGAATGACATAGTCCAAGGTAAAGTGGAGGCGAAGAAGGTAGAATGCGAAGTTAGAAGGGAGCACAAGCGAGGAGGAGAGGAGTGCGGATAGAGAGAGGTACAAAGTGGCTAGGAAGGAGGCAAAACTGGAAGTCACGGAGGCTAATAATGCAGCGTTTAGCCGTCTATACGAGGAATTAAGGGAGAAAGGCGGGGAAAGGAAGTTGTTTTAGTTGGCTAAAATGAGGGAGAGGAAGTCCCGGGATATGGACCAAGTAAGGTGCATCAAAGACGAGGATAGCAGAGTACTGATGGGGGAGTCCCAGATTAAGCAGAGATGGCAGACTTACTTTTATGGTCTTCTTAATGAGGAGGGGGACCGGGATATAGTGCTAGGGGACTTAGGGAATTCGGAGAGTCTCCGAAATTTTAGGTATTGCAGGCGCATTAATGTGGAGAAGGTCGTGGGGGCTTTGCGTAAGATGAGCATGGGTAGAGCGACCGGGCCAAATGAAATTCCGGTTGAGTTTTGGAAGTATGTGGGTAGAGCAGGATTGGAATGGCTAACTGGGTTGTTCAATATAATTTTTAGGACGAAGAAGATGCCGAAGGAATGGAGGTCGAGTACAGTGGTACCGTTGTACAAGAACAAAGGTGATATCCAGTGTTGTAATAATTATAGGGGTATCAAGTTACTTAGCCATACCGTGAAAGTCTGGGAGAGGGTGGAGGAGGTGAGGGTGAGGAAGACGGCGTTTATATCTGACAATCAGTTTGGGTTCATGCCGGGCTACTCCACTATGGAAGCTATCCACCTTAATAGGAGGTTGGTGGAACAGTACAGGGATAAGAAGAAGGATCTGCACATGGTGTTTATTGACTTGGAGAAAGCGTATGATAAGGTTCCTAGAGAGGTGCTCTGGAGATGTCTTGAGGCGAAGGGCATGCCGGTAGCCTACATACGAGCGATCAAGGATATGTATGACGGAGCTAAGACTAAGGTTAGGACTGTGGGAGGCGACTCGGAGCACTTCCCAGTTGTTATGGGATTACTTCAAGGCTCTGCGCATAGCCCGTTCTTATTTGCCTTGGTGATGGATGATTTGACACACAATATTCAAGGGAAGGTGCCATGGTGTATGTTATTTGCTGATGACATAGTTCTAATTGATGAGATGAGGGCCGGTGTTAACGAGAGATTGGAGGTTTGGAGACAGACTCTCGAGTTTAAGAGTTTCAAATTGAGTAGGTCTAAGACAGAGTACCTGGAGTGCAAGATTAGCGCTGAGTCGAGGGAAGTAGGCAGGGACGTGAGGCTTGGGACACAGGTCATCCCTAAGAGAGATAGCTTCAAGTACCTTGGGTCGGTGATTCAGGGGGACGGAGAGATCGACGAGGACGTCAATCACCGTATAGTGGCGGGATGGATGAAATGGAGGCTTGCATCTGGAGTCTTGTGTGACAAGAAAGTGTCACCGGTACTCAAAGGTAAGTTTTATAGAGCTGTTGGTAGACCGGCCATGTTGTATGGGGCAGAGTGTTGGCCGATTAAGAACTCCCATATCCAGAGGATGAAAGAAGCAAAGATGCGGATGCTGAGGTGGATGTGCGGGCACATTAGGATAGATAAGATTAGGAATGAATATATTCGGAGGGAGGTGGGCGTCGCCCCTATGGATGACAAGATGCGGGAAACGAGGCTCAAATGGTTCGGGCACGTGCAACGGAGAAGCCTTGATGCACCGGTGAGGAGGTGTGAGCGGTTGGTCGTGGTGGGTACGAGAAGAGGTAGAAGGAGACCTAAGAAGTATTGGGGAAAGGTGATCAGGCAGGACATGGTACGACTGCAGATTTCCGAGGACATGGCCCTTGATAGGAAGGCTTGGAGGTCAAGCATTAGGGCTGTAGGATAGGGATAGTAAAGCTTTCCTTACTTCATACCGGGGGTGAGGCGGGGTTGGATTAGGGTTGATCTTAGATGGCTTGCAGTTTATGTTGTACCCACATTATTCTTGTTGTTTATCTTAGCCCCGGGCCTTAGATTCTGGTTATTGTTATTGCATGTCATTCTCTTTTGGTTTTTATGATTCTGTTACTATTACGGTTTCTACTGGAGTTACTAATTAATTCTCTTTTCTTATTTTTTATTTTATTTTCGTCTTTCTGAGCCGAGGGTCTATCGAAAACAGCCTCTCTGCCCCTATCGGGGCAGGGGTAAGGTCTGCGTACACATTACCCTCCTCAGACCCCACTATGTGGGATTTTACTTGGTTGTTGTTGTTGTTGTTGTTGTTGTAATATTGGCTTGACTACAACTAAATGAAGGGCTTTCAGCTTATACCCTTCAATTCCTTAAATGTGCTAAATTAAAATTAATGATAGCAATTGTATAGTCAAAGTTTTATTATTTGTTTGATGTCCATTTATGCAAATTGACTCTTCAAACAAATATTCTTCAAGAAGAAACAAGAAACAACTTTTTTTCTTAATATTGACTGATTTTGTGATGTTTCTTTCTCCATCATGCATGTTTACTTTATTATATATATAAGTAATTTTTTATTTGGTTTTGTAAACTCTTTTTTGTTATTTAGATAAACATAGACGTGTACCCTATATATTACATTTATTTTAAAAGAATTTCGTTTTATTCAAATCTAG